ACCCGAAAACATGGCCGGGCGATCCCGCCGCGGCTCGTATCGATGCTACCCGCGCGCGCGTCACCGACGTTCGCCGTTCCCTCGATATCGTTTCAGGGGCTTCCAAGCTGGGGGCCGATTTATCGGTTCTCCGTTCGGCCATCGTGAGCGCTGCGATACGGGTCCATCTCCGTTCGCGACGTCGGACCTGGATCAACCGGGAGCGCCGGCCGTTCCGAAGGAACGAGGCTCGGCGGGGTCGAGACAAAGGTTCCCGATAAAAGTCGAACGAAATCACGCCGATAAACGTTCTCCCTCTCGTTTCGTTTGTCATTTCCCCGTTCTCTTCCGGCCCAACGATATTATAATCGATCAACGTCCGTACACCGAACACCGCTGAATATCACACGCGATTCCAATTTCGATTCGACAGTCGAACGAACCGGCCTATGATCGATCGACGATCGACGACAGACACGCGAACGCGAACACATACACACGCACAGACACATGTCTCTCTCTCGGGACTTGGCTTTCTCTCTCTTTTTTCTCTTTTCTTTCGTTCTCTTCGAAAACGGTGCCGTGTTTCGTCGTGTTTCGTCGCGATCAACTTCGAAATATTGTCCTCTCACAACGACATAAATTACCGTATATAAACTATACAAGAAGGAATAATATCGCCGGATCTATCAACTTTCTCATACCGCGCGTCCGCTTTTTTTGTTCTTTCTCTCTCTCTCCCTCTCACGCGACTACCGCACACAAATCGTTCGAGTTACCAACCCCCCCCGGTCGTCGGCACGTTCCGTGAACCCGTCCCGTTTGTCGTACAACATTATAAAAAATCTATAGTTAGCCCTAAGAGTAAAGTCGCACCTTAACCACGCTAGCCGTTATGATATCGTTTTACTCGGTTACGTTACATCGTAGTAAATCTACTTAATTAAGTCGCCGCCGTCGTGCCCTTCACCCGCGATCGGATGCAGTGGATGATTCGAGGTTCGACGGAGAGAGGATGGAAATGAAAGTTAAGATCATTCTCGCGAGGAACGTTACGCGGAGGAATTCTGCTCTTAAGGAAACGTTGCGGTTTTGTGGAAATTCTGAGAAACCGACATTTTATTCGATGGAAATCTAGGTCAACTCAGATCAATCAGATTGCAATATTAAATGGACTTTCAGATGATCGATAAGATTAAAGTTAAGTCTACAGAAAGGTAAAGTTCGAAATAACGTTTCGACAGTCCACGATAATTCTCGAGACGTTCTATGTAAACAAAGTTTCATTAAAGCCAGAATTGCCAAGTGTTACCACTCGTATCGAGTGATATTCCTCGGTAGCACCGTTTCGATGACTCGGCTGGGAGCACCGACAGAGCGACAGGATTTCTCTTCCCTCTCGGGAAGTGTTCGATGCAAGAGTACATTCGTAAAATAGGAGAGAAGTCTCGGAAAAGGGACTCGAACCCGACGAGTGCGTAGGATTTATTGAATTCGATAAAGTACGTCTTACCAAGTATTATCAAGGAAACCAAAGCCTAGCTAAACTCGACAACCAATAGATCAAATGAATCTCTCTGATCCGTTCGCTGAACTTGCTTTTCTAAACGAATGTTACCAACGAACTACGCGTTTGCGAGCCTCGAGCCCGCGGATACCAATCGCGTTGCACTCGATCCATCGAATATTCCCGACCGCCTAAGTCCGGAGCCCTTTTTCCCCGATAATCTAAAGGATCCACACGCATCGCCCATTTAAGCGCACTTCGCGGGCAGCCGAACGCTCTCGGCAACGAAATTCTCTACGTTCAATCGCTTCCCATCGACTTCCACTTCCAAAACAATTTCAACGCGCTCCCATCGACACGCAACGGTTACCTATTACCGCTCTTAAGTGTACACGTACATAATCCTTACCTAGACACGAGCCTATACATTAAGTCGTTCAAGTTCATACAACTCTGCGCCCATATTACCATGCGTCGAGCGCGATCGCGCGTCCGACGGCGACGTCGGACGACAATCGACAAACGCGAGCTCGCGAGCGAGAGGAACGCGAAGATCGGTCGATCGAACGGTTTCCCCCGTGGTTCTTCGTTCCTCAAACGAACAGAAACAAATCGAGGACGATCAGCGCGACTATAATTATCCTAATACCTCCTAATTTCGAAACAATCCTTTGAGAAAACCGTCCCGCACGAATTTCAGGGGACAGAGGAATTCCTTCGAACGTCTTCGGCGTCTCGGTGGAACTGCCCACCGACTCGCGGCTCGGTTTTTCGCTTTTGACATCACACTCCTCGCGAACCGAGATCGTCTCGGGCCTGGGCAAGAGACCTGGTTCCGTCGAATTTATCCGAGGCGCGAGAAACGTTTACTGAATGGCCAATGAACGTTTATCGTTGAAATTTCGCGGTGAGGTTTAACACGTTGATTGCCTTTCAATGAGACTAGAGTTTCTTAACTGCTTGAACATAATTGGAATAAGATTATTGACGAATAAAAATGTTCAGTAACTATGCAGTTATTATATTGTAGCTAATCATAGTTATAGCTGAGATTAAGTAGCTAGATAGTAATGTAACCTAAGAACCACAAATCATTGATAGTTACTTCCAATTCAATTCACCTATGCCACGAATCAGTGACTTAATATAAAACAATCAAAATCCTCTCGATAGTCAACGTGTTAACATACATTCGAGTAACGTAACATTTCACCATACCCATTGAACAAGACCAAAAACTCCAATCTTCGACTTCCTATTTCATCAAGAAATCTGCTTCGACGTGAACATGTCGCGAAGTGGCAGGATAAAATGAAAACTGGTAAGCTTACCTCGCCTCTGTACGTACAAAAACGTGGCCCAGACCCGGCGACGTTCACCGGTTCCCGCACGTGTTGCGCTGTACAAACGAGGTCGACGAACCCTATCATCCAGCGTTCTTCCTCTCCTTTGTATGTATGTACAGTACCGTTTCGCTTCGTTTATGATACAGGAACAGAGAAGACAGAGGATAGAGATAGAGAGATAGAGAATGATCGAGTGACTGAGTGACTGAGTGGAGAGACTTACATATTTTCTAGCTACGCGACACCGTTCAACCATAAATATCGTCTAGCGCGCGTCGAACGGTCCCCGACTTACAGACAGCCCGAACCGACGAGGCTCGGTTCACTTCCGTTACTCCCGTTCGTCGCGTGTCCCCGACGTTCCCGCTGCAGTTCGTCGATCGATTCGAATCGTCGGTTTCCAGCCAGGGAAAACGAGGAACGACGAAACTCACGCACGATCGCGAACGATCTCGTCCTAAGATCCTCCGACGATCCACTGTTCACTGTGTCCGCGTTTCACGCTCGCGAATATCGGATTGATTCGTTCCTGGTCCGACAGCACGGTGTCCCGCCTTCTTTGTTTTCGTTTCCTCGCCGTTAATTCCGATCCGCAGGCCAAAGGAACGCCTCCGCGCGGCGTGCACCGTCCCCGCTCCGACGAGAGAGAGCCCCGCCTCGCTCCGTTCGACCCCCGTTTCCTCCTCCGTTCCGCTCTCGTTTCATTCCCCGTCGTTTTTCGAAGTCGCCACGGTTCACGACGACACTGCTCACCTTAGCAGGTTCGCGATTAACAGCGTCACGGTCGCCAGGAGGATGGTCGGCGCCACGCCGCAGCTTCCGCCGTGTTGCATGGCCGCCGGGTGCTCGCCTGGAACAGAAGAAGTATCGCGCCGTTCAAACCCGTTCTACTTTATTGTTCCCTCCGACGGCGTAATGCTATGCGACACGCGCGCAAACCGCGGGGAACGCTTCGGGACTGTCGCGTCGCTAAATCGCTGTAGGAGGGCTATTGACGAAACCTTCTGCGAGGCACATTAGTATAGCCCTGAGTATTTTTACCATAGCAGAAATAAAAGCCCAAGGAACCGTTACTTCAATAATTCAGTCGTAGTTGCTTCGGCACGTTTTGCCAGTTTTGTAGATTTACCGTAACTTTTACCTTACATCTGTTTGCCGGAAGTCGAGGCGATCCTTGGTTTTATTACTCGCTATGGTCAGTGCCAAGAACGCTCGGGACCCTTGCGTGGGTCACCCGGGGGCTGCAATCGGCAACCCCTCCAGGATCACTGGTTGAGTCCCACTCGAACGAATTTTTGTTTATACGCGCCCACTATCTGGAAGGCTACAGATCAGGAAGCTTCCAATTTTACACACGCCTACCCAAAGGTTTATAAAAACCCACGCAAGGTACGGAGACGAGATATAAGAAAAAATTGAACTGGACACACGAGACGGAGTATATAGACGTCGCTGTAGACTCTCGCCGCTGACGAGTATTACTGAACTCCCGAAAATAAACGGCAATTTATTTTCACTGAAGTGAATATTTATACAGTCCACTTCCAATCAGTTCGCACGAAATTAAGTCGGCGTGCGACGTACGGGTTTCCCTATAACATTTCGAAATAGAAAACGCGTACACAACAGGGACGTCCGCTCGTCTATTTGCGGCTGAATTAAGCGGAGAATCAAGTCAGGTGGTTCTGCGTGGTCGCGTTCTCCGGGATGATAATTGCGAGGAAAGGTCAATTATTTGTCAGAGTGAACAGGGGTTCCGGTTCTGGCGAGTGAATCGGGTCAACGAAATGTCAGTGCGGGGTGTAGAATAAATTACTCTTTGATTCTATAATGTAGAAGAGAGTGGGAATCTAGTAGAATAAATCAATAACCCGATCGTGACGAGATTAACAAGTAGGTCAACGATTCAGCCTAGATTCCCGAAACACCAATGCGGGTTAACTAACATATTATCCCTCGCTTGTGTAATATGAAATAGAACGTACTTTCGTCATTAACCCAGTAGAATACACCAACTACTTCAAACCAGGCCTCGATAACACAGAGTAGTATAAATCAACGACAAATGCAACAGCCAGGCGCCGCGAACTCCATGACAATCCGCGACCCACTAAATTATTCTTCATTCATCCAGCATTCGATAGAAAGTTAACGCCAGCCAGTGGAACGGGTCAACAACTGACCCGCCGCGTAAACTCCGCGAGAAACCGCACAATCAAAGTCGCACTAAATCCTCCAGGAAGCCCGATCCGAGGAGCAAACTTCTAATTCACGGGCCGTCGTCTTCCATTACAGATAACCATTAATAACGGCGACACCGGGGCACGAGGGTTGGCCCGACGAGCAGCAGAGGAACGTAACGCGGTCTGGCGGCGCGGATCCCGGCTGAACCAGCGTTAATCAGCGGCTATCCCCGAGGCGGCGCGATTTCCATACATATATTTCGCATATCCGGACGAATGTTAACGATGTATCGGCTCGGATGACCGCGGCAAGCCGCACGCAACGTCCGGTAATAAAGATAATCACGGCCGTGTAACCCGGCGCGGACTCGCTCTCCTCGCGTGTCACGCGATTTACGGCGCGGGATGATCGCGTCGCGATTCACGTCGATCGGTCCGCGGCCCGAAAAACGGGGCGCCGTTAATCGCGAAGGCGGCTCGCGCCCCGGCGTCGTAATTGCGTTAATACGCGGGGATAATCCGGGCCGGCAGGGCCCGGGATAGGTTGATCGCGAAATAATTGAAATTTGCGGTCAATTTTGCAGAGTAATCAGCCGTGTTTGAAATAACGTCGATGGGCCGCGGCCTACGCCGTCGATTGTGAATTAATTATGCAGACGAACTGCGCTGCATTAATTTTCATTTCCCGCCCCGCGCTGCCGCGGTCCGCCGCGGAACGTCGCGCGGCGGATTGCCGGCCGGACGCCGCGTGCAAACTCCGCGTGATCGATGCTCGCTTGACCACCGCCGCCGACCTCCGCGCGCCGTATCACTGATACAGCCGTGAAAGTATGCTCGATTGAAGTCCGTTAATGGAATCGCACCCCGCTAATCTTTCGGCCATAATTCATACCCGGTTGATTAGCAGTTCATTGTTGCGCCACGACGCGGCCGCGACCCTGCCGGCGCCGGATGAATGCACGCCGCGATGTGGGACAATTCGCGTTTAACGTCGCGGGCTGTTTCTGAATTGCAGGGGAAGTGGGGTCATTGAAGAGTCGCGGTGGGGATCCTGTGGTGCTTGCTCGGTCACTTTTACTGAATTTTCCAGATTGGAAAAGTGTGTTTCACATTTCTCAATTTTACTAGGTTTAAGCTTCAATTTTCTAATTGTCCGAGCTTTAAGTTCCCCGAGTATTAAGTTTCAATTTTATAATTTTCCAAGGTATAAGTTCCAATATTCTAATTTTCCAAAGTTTAAGCTCCAATTTTCTAATTTTCCAAGTTTTAAGCTTCAGTTTTCTAATTTTCCAAGTTTTAAGCTTCAATTTTCTAGTTTTCCAACTTTTAAGCTCCAATTTTCTAATTTTCCAAGTTTTAAGTTTCAATTTTCTAATTTTCCAAGTTCTAAGCCTCAATTTTCTAATTTCCCAAGGTTTAAGCTTCAATTTTCTAATTTCCCAAGTTTCAGGCTTCAATTTTCTAATTTCCCAAGTTTCAGGCTTCAATTTTCTAATTTCCCAAGTTTCAGGCTTCAATTTTCTAATTTTCCAAGTTTCCAATAATCCCATTTTCAACATTCCAATGACCCATTTTCAATTTTCCAACTTTCCAACGCTCTCATTCCCCAATTCTCCGATAATCCCATTTCTCCATTCACCAATTTCCCTTATTCACCAACCTCTCAATTTTTCAATTACTGAATTCTCCAATTGAAAACGATCAATTCTCCATAAAACAACTACACAAGACGTCAAACGCAAGAACATTCATCGATTTTCCACTACCTATTCACATTCTTTCACCATTTCTCTCCCTCTAATCCACATAAGCTTTTCTAAAACCAATTACCCCAAGTTTCCTCTAATTACAGGATCAGAATCGCCGACAGTCAGCCACGAGCAACTAGAATAAGTCGTCGACTTTCTCGAGTGACGTGCGCTCGTCAAGAGAGACCTACCGCGTTGAACGCGTGCGCGTGCAAGAGATGACTGACAGGCTGGATTGGCGAACTTGCGGAGCAAGTTATTGCACACGTTACCGCGAGTGTTGCCGGGCTGACAATGGATCGGATGTAGGGACGTGTATGCGTGAAGGGCCGACTACTTGCCGCCAACCAATACACGAGGAGCCTGTCAAACTTTATGACGAGGGACTTCGATACTTGATGAATGAACAGCCTGTCCCTTTTCCTTGTCGTAGCTCACGAGCCGAGGCTGCTTCCCTGCAACGCCGGCGACAACCATTGTCGAGGAAATTGTCGAACAATTGTGATGCAAAAGGGCCGACGATCCGTACCAGGCGTCCAACCGCGGGGACACCAATGGCCGCGGCCTCTGATTTCCGAGAGACATCAACTTGATATCGGGGTCGACCCCCTTGTCGCCGAGACTTGACGTATTAATCCAATATTTGTTCATTCCTGGCTGCGGACGTATACCGAGCGACGCGGTAAAACATGCACGAGGTAGTTACTTTGAGATTACTCTAAATTACTTTTTCAACCATTTGCGGTGTAAAGAAATTCACGCTTGCGCGTGCCAGAACAGTCAACTGTAACTGTGTAACTGTAACTGGAGTTCGATGTGTTCCAGAAGAAAATATAGACGTATCAACTGGTAAAATTACACATGTATAAATACTAAATTTGTTTATTAAGAATCTTGCATATTGTGATATTTTTCAAAAGAATTTGGAAAATTGACGTTTCTGTGACAATTACCTGTCGACGTGTAACACGTCGTTGACGTTCCTGTAACAGAAGCATCTCGACGTGGGTGACACGTCTTTCCACCGCAAGTGGTTAATTACACTATGAAGATAGAGTGTACTAGTTATATGGAACTACAAGGAAGATTCGAATAAGTGTTATTAAACTTGGTGAGTACAAAGTACTTTGAATACTTTATGTGTTGAGTGTACCGGGAGAAAGAGTTCTTGAGTTTACTTTGTACTTGTTTCCTCAAAGACAGGTTGTACTACTTGGAACACTCGTTTCATTCTCGTTGCTATATTCTTACATTCCACCTTCCAAAGCTCATCTCGCCAAATGTCTCGAATAATTAAGACAAGTGGAACGTAAAATGGTATTCCAAATTTGCACAGTGACGTTTGAATTATGAGGAACACGGAGCTGGAAAACACCATTTAAATTCGCGATGGAATCCTGACGTTGACTTATGTGAATCAGCAGTCGAAAATCGATTACATTCCCCAAACGGCCGCCCAGACGTTCCAATTCTCTATCCACCGTACCAATAAATTATACCTACTAACTCAACAAAACATCCAGAATGCTGTATAGACACGAAATTAGATGCCAATAATATTCTCCGAATCACGTTATGCTCCACGGAGAACGAAGAAATATTATCGTCAGCGACGTTCCGACGTTTAACGCGTTAATGTACGCTTTCACATCGAGCTGGGAAGCCTGTGGAAGCGTACGGATCGCAGTGAACGGTTGTCGAAGCGTGTCGGATCGAGATACGAGATTCCGCGAGGCGGCGGGACGCGGCAAAGTATACGCGATTCGGCCCGATGCTTGCTGATTTTTCCTCTTAAATGCATTTGCGAGCGACGTTTATGGAAGGGCGTGTGCATGACGTTGCCCTCGAAGTCCCGGGAACGCTTCAACGATTCCCATAGACCGGGCAAAAAGAGGATCCCGCCTAAAAACCCGCGTAAAGCGACGCCATATCGGGAAACGTCGCGCAGATCTGGAACGGATAGCGTCAGGACCTGCGAAAAAATAAATCGACGCGGATGAAATTTCGCCGGGAGCTCGGTTGCACGCTCCGGGCTACGTTTCCCGTTAGATAACTCGCGATCCTCGCGTTACAAAGTCCTCGGGAATTAATTATACAAAATACAGGTGCACGTTGCTCTGCAGTTCGTCTGGCTCGCGTTGACCAATGCCCGGGATATAGGGAACGATCCAAAGTGCTCGGTAACGATCGACGAAAGCATAATTCGCTGTCCATGTTATTACAGAGATTTCGACGCGATTCGATTTTATGTGGATTGACTACGCTTCTTGGAAATCGCAGTGGGTTTTAGCGAAATATGAAGCTATGATTTAAATCGCGGAAGAGAATTGTAGAATGAAAGATTTGATGGAATTGGAAACTTGAATGTTAAAATTTGATGCTTGATGCTTGAAAACTTGAATGTTGAAATTTGATGTTTGATGCTTGATGCTTGACACTTGAGAACTTGAGAACTTGAGAACTTGAGAACTTGAGAACTTGGGAACTGGAGAACTTGAGGACTTGAGGACTTGAGGACTTGGGAACTTGAGAACTTGGGAACTTAAGATTTTGAGGACTTAAAAACTTAAGAACTTGAGAGCTTGGGAACTTGAGAACTTGGGAACTTGAGAATTTGAGGGCTTAAAAACTTAAGAACTTGAAAAGTTGAGAACTTGGGAACTTGAGAATTTGAGGACTTAAAAACTTAAGAATTTAAGAACTTGAGAACTCGAAAAGTTGAGAACTTGAGGGCCTAAGAACTTAAGAACTTGAGAACTCGAGAATTTGAGAACTTAAAAGCTTGGAAGCTCGAAAACTTAGAAACCTGAAAGCTCGAATCTTGAGGTTTGAAACTTGCAAACTGGAAAACTCAAATCTTGATAGCTCTAAACTTGAAATCTCAAAAGCCTGAAAACTCGAATAATTAAAAATCCAAAAATTCGAAGCATCAAACTGTTCCGTTACAATAAAACTCCGTAGAATCGCTTATTGCATCGAACCGCTTTTCCAATTCCCACCGGCGCGCGACAACGCGTCGAGAAATTAGAGCGGTCCGTGAGAATCCCAGTGCCGCACGGGTCTCACGTAGGTGGGAAAGAATCGTGACGAGGTTCCTGCAGACAGGATAAGCGGGTGTTACAAGAAGAGCGCGGATCAATATTAAGAAGCTTGTGTGTCACGGCGCAGCTACGTCTGAGCGCAAGACTGATCGTCGCTCAGGAGCGCCGAAGAAATTAAGTTAACCCCACGTCGGAGGGTTTTAAAAAGTGGAAGTAGTCTCACGGCGAGAAGTCAAGCTCCGGCGGGGTGGGGGTTAGACGAGGGGAGAAGTGAACGTTACGACGATAATTCGGTGGAATAAAAAGGGCTCTTACCATTCAGCACGTGGACCATTACGCTCGCCGGATTCGCGTTGCTCGGAATGCAGGTGTAATTTCCGCTGTCGGTCAATCTGGCCTGTGTCACCAGAAGCTTGCTCGTCGTGCCGCTCTCCGTCTTCTCCGTCTCCAAGGAAACACCGCCCCTGCGGTGAACGCTGAATTATCAAAGATACTTTGCTACTATTCAACGCCAGCCATTGGTTATATTACTTTGTTAGTAGTTTCTAAGGATTCCACGTCCGCGCTCCTCTCAGCGAACTTCGCGACGCTTTCCCGCTGATATCTCGACCGCCCACCCTTTTAACGACGATGTTTACGCGCCCCTCCGACGTTGCGAACTTCAAGTTTGAAGACCACGCTCTTTCGAGGACGCAGCCTCGCGGAGGGTTTTTAAAAAAAATGCTTCGGCTAATCGCGACCCCCACTTCCGAGTGTTTAACGAGGGTTACGAGCCGTCTGAATTCGAGTTCTATGGGACTCCGAGGACGGTGCTTGACGATCGCTGTGCGTTCAACAGGGGTGTGCACCCCTACTCGACGCTTCCAGCGTTTACCCTTATGGTGTTCTGTTGAAAAACCCGCGGAAAAACGCGATCGTACGTCATCTAAAAATGAGAATATTCGAAATTCCTTCAATTCTCTTTGTCGATATTAACCCACTACCCCTTATTCGAACTCTATAAAATCATTTCTCTAACGTTCCCGGAATAAAATTCAACCCCAACTATAGAACTAAAGAAGAAAACTAAGTTATATCGAGTGATATAAAATTTAACGCGGTTTGAATGCATAAGATTCATCAAATAATAAAGTTCCAAGTTGCAAACCACCCCACGGAGGCACGATAAAAATTCTCAGCCACGCTTCGGGCGAAGAATCCCGGTGAACCACGAAATTTTCGCACGCGTTAGAATTTTCGATCCGAAAGGTCACGGCGATAATCCCAACGCGCGCAATCGAACGGAAAAGCGGGCGAGCGAGCGAGCGAGCGAAGTTCGGGGGTCTAGGAGGGGTGGTTGCGAGACGGTTCGCCGGAGGACATTAACGTAGGTGAAACTCGAGAACTTTATTCTCGTGGCTTGTACCTGGGACTGTCGAAATCCACCACGGATCCTCCGTGATGCCACGAAACGCTGCTGGGCGGTGTACTTTGCACATTAACGGTGCACGTGAGGCTTATCATGCTGCCCTTCATCACGTAGACGTCCTCGGGACCCGGGATCATCGCCTGCGCGGCTGCAACATCCGAAAATCGGCCGCTTAAATATTCCGACCGTGGCTGCGCCCTTAAATTCTCGTTTATTTCGTTCGCGTGTGTCGGCCGACTGTGCCTGGAAACTCCCGGATCTTGCGAGCAGCCTTTGGAAGCGGGAAAGTCGTCGTCAAGACAGAAAATACGGTTAAAATATATACCAAAATAGAAACTATATTATAGAAATATGATAGCCTGGTAAAGATAAAGTTTCTAAATATATTACAATCGACGAGGTTACCGAGTCGATCGAGGTCCGATCTCAGTGCACGAAACTCCGACACCTTTGACGCAATTCTACACTTTGCAACATCAATTCCAATTTGGAAGGCTTCTATCCTCGAAACTCAATATTCTTTACTCCGACTTCCCTGCGTCACGCCGGCGACTGCAACGTCAAACGACAATGTATCCTTAGCATATCGAGAAGCGAGCATCGTCTGAGATACGCGGCCATCCGTGAAATCCACTCGCTCGCAGGCAGCGCGGTGAGATTCGTTTAATTAAATTCATCCCTTAAACGAGGCAGAATTTAATTAAAAATTCTATGCAGAATTTAAAATTCTACCCTCGCGCAATATCTCCCGCCTCTCGTTCTACCCCCTTCTCCCGGGTAGAATCGAGGCTCGCCGACGTTGAGGATGGAACAGTGCTGAGAGCTGCGAGAGAGGTTCCCGCGAGGAACGACAAGTCGCCAATTTTCGCTCGCCCGGCGAAGTTGAGATTTGACTTTTCCCCGGCGATCAAACATCCGATCGCCCTCGAACGGCACGCAGGAAAACGCACCGCGGCGGGATATTAATGCCGCGGAAATCACGGCGCTCCGCGAATTGTGGTACGCGAACTTCAATTCGCCGCGCGCGCGGCAGGACTCTATGCAAATGGCGGCGACGCGACGCGAGGCCGTGCTCGTGACTAACATTCGAAACGAATCCCGCGCTCAAGTTTTAATGGAACACCGAAGTTCGGGTCGGCACGGGCGGCGGGCGCGAAAAACAAAAGTGCCGGAAAGACGGCACCGGAACTCGACGTTGCCGCGGATATTTTAATTGCGAGCTCCGCCGGATATTCCGTGTATTAGTTTTCGGGGTTTATTTCTTTCGACGTGTTTGCTCCCGCTTTTCAGTATATAATGGATGTCTTGATTGCAATGCTTCGTTCGTTTTTCACTCGTTGATGCTCGTGTGTTACATAGAATCTACTTCATGCCAAATGCCACTAGGGTTCACTAGGAACTCTGGAAACTCTCGATCTTCCGAGAGTTTTGGTGACTTTGGATACCACGCTTGGAAAGTGGAGAATCAACTTAATAGTAGATCTGCCGTTTGATGTAATTGAAATTCAATTAATATCAGTTTCTTCATTCAGTATAGCATTCAAGTGGAGTTTTTGAAATATGTAGCTTCGTTTTGAATATTCAATACTTGAGATAATTACGAAACAAGAAAACCAGAATCATTTTAACGCTAGAACTACGTATCAGTCAAAATGACTGGTTTCGATTTTGTTCAGCAATTATTGATATCTTGGAAGCATTGAATATTTGGAATGAAAATAAATAGTTCCAATTGAAGAAACTGAAACTGATCTATTGTTACAATTTTTACAGTTAGTGTTAACTAATCCTAGTATCAACCAATTAATCGATACAATATTACACAGAGAATTCTCTCATTACGAAGATCAATATATACCAATCATCTGTATATAAACCAACGAATACGAAGAAACAAATGTATTTCCACGAGAATCCAATTAACAATATCAGTTTCTTCATTCAGTATAGCATTCAATTGAAATTTTCAAAATATATAGCTTCATTTTGAATATTCAATACAATTCCTATATTTGCACATACTCTCGCAACTTTCTCGCCAAGGGTGGTACCACGCTCGCGTCTACTCCCCTAAGTCTTGATCGAGCAAGCGAACACACAGAGGCCCGACTAGCATTAGCATTTTCCGAGGGAGCGAGGGCGGGCCGAGCTGTCCGGCTTGACTTTTCCCGCGATAATTATTACGGGGACGATAATTCGGTGGTAATTAGAGGAGCCGAGGTGCGCGTTGCGACGATCAGCGAAACAGACCTCTTTCGACGGTGAAGTCAGCTCGACCGGCCCTCGTAAAACAAAACCATCCGTGGGTTGCATTAATTAAACGTTAAACGGGGATGACGTGCATGCACCGATAGAGCACGGGCTACGCTGCTATCTCTCTACCCTCCCTCTATTCCAGTCTATTCCATTTCTCTCTCTCTCTCTATCTCTCCATCTCTCTCTCTTTCTCGCGTATTCCGGTGTACATAGAGGCGGACAGACAGACAGACATGCTGACCAGGCCGACACGGTCGTCACTACACACGCACACAGCTGCCCGGCGCAATACACGGAGCCGAGCGTCTAGCAGCGAGCTCAACAGCTTGGAAAAGGAGAGAGTTCTGTTCTTGCGTGATTCTAACCTGAGTTGAACGTCTGGCGAATGGCGTTCGGTGTGGCGGTGGCGGGGACAGGGGCACTGTCTGGAACGGGAGGACAGAAAAGATATCGAGTTAATCGGTTTCGCCGAGAGAGATCCACTGTCTCGTCGGCACGGACGGTTGCGAACGGCTCAAGCACTGTCTGCGCGATACGGGACGCATGTACTCGGAACTTTCCGAGCGTTTCGTTCCCCATGAATATTTCATCGTTCGAGGGAATTTTTTCATTTGCTCTTTCATTAATGTTTGGCTTTTCAGAACGATCCGCGATTTGGAGGCTGTGGAACATTGCAGGGTAGTTTGATTTGTGTTTTTGAAGTTGAATGGTTGATTGTTTTATAGCTTCGATGGTGAATATTGAAATGGTCGGAAAGTTTCGCTTGAATATGTACACAGGATTGTTCATTTACAATGTTAGCAGCCTCGATGTACCGTACAATTGTTGTGAAACTAATCAGGTTAACACTAGAACTACGTACCAGTCGAAATGACTGGTTTCGATTTAGTTATTAATACCTTAAGAGCATTGAATGTTTGAAATGATTTTTGAAATAGTTTCACTTCAGTACTATGATGAATATCCAAAGAAAATAATCTATTGTCAATTTTTATAGAGATTACATATCAATCGTATTATATACTCAGTAGTTCTAATGTTAATTAGGTTTGAATTTAATCGAAGTTCAATTTCTGGGTTAAATTCGAATGTAATATATTTTACACCCAAAGCCTGTACGTAGACGAACGCAAGGATAGCGTTTTAAACTAGTTACCTATCTCTATAGATCCCTCCGAGTTCGAAATGACAACTACACTCGCGCTTAATTTCTGAAAACCGCCCTACAAGCTCCTGGAACTCTCTGATTCTTTGAATAACTGCATCCTGTTCTCTCCATTATTAATTCACCGTTTCCCCGTGGCATTTACAGCTCCTTCAAGTATAATTCCGTCGTTCATTAGCCACATTTAATCCAGCGGCAGGATCCGGGATCCGGGGATCATATTTAAAGCCGTCCCACGGCTCGTCGCGATCCGGTTCAAAGATCCTCGAATTTAATTAGAAGCGCGGGATAACGCCGCGGAATTATTTCAGCCCGGCCGAAAGATTGAATATTCCGCGGCGCTGCTGCGACTGTATCACGCCCTGATTTTCATCATCCAAGAATATCGATTCCGGCCGACTGACGAGCAATTAGCGTGGCCCGTGATAGGGACAGGTACACGCAGAGGCCGCGAACATAATTAATGAACATCGGTGTTCGTGCACGCGGGATCCACGAAATCCTCTGACCCCGGGGGAACGGTCCGCCGCTCAAAGACGCCGCAAACGCAAACCTACGACTAATTATTCCCGTGGCTCTCGATCGTTCGATTAGAAACAGATCGCGCGGTGCGCGAATGGAAATTGCTGGGGACGCGATCGAACCGGAGACTCGAATCGTTGAAATCGTTGAAACATTCGACACTTTCGAAACTTGAAACGAGGATTTTGTTTAACACAGAACTACCGTACCAGTCGAAATGACTGGTTTCGATTTTTTTGTGTAGTAATTATTGATGTCTTCGAAGCATTGAATATTCGAAATGATTTTGAAAATAGTTTCATTTGAGTACTATAATGAATGCCTGAAGAAAATAATCTATTGTTACAATTTTTATGGGAATTGCATATTAATCGTATTAAATGCTTGGGAGTTCTAGTGTTAATGACAAGAATATACTCTAGAACTGAAGATTTTTGTGTAGCTGAACTATAACCAAACTCGACGGAAGATATGACAGTAAATTATCTAATTTACATTGTTACTTAACACATTGAGCGCCTGCCCCGGGATAATGAGGGATTTTTAGTCTGCCGTTTAATTGCTAATTCTTCATGTAACATTTTAGATATATGTATAACACAAATCCAAAGTAAAATTACAAAATCGAATACCTTATTCTCTTCCGCAAGTTAGAAATTTTGGTGTAATCGATGCTTAACCCTTTGAACTCTGTATTCTCCAATATTGCACTAATTATAATATTAAAGATTTTAATGAATCTTAAAGAAACCACCTTAAAATTATTAGATGTTTCACACATCCAAATTTTCTGAGAAGGAAAATAAAAGAACGAAGAAATGTTATAGCATTTCTTATTTTCGGAATAATATAAAAATTACTTGCAGTTGCTGATAGATTACAAAACAACCTGGAGTGCTAAGGGTTAAATTAATGAACTCGTGTTTTTAGCTGAAATTTTGCAGGTGTTCAATGTGTTAAGAATACTAACATTCGCGAGATCTCTGTCCTGACTACCCGGAACACTTCAAAGATTATACCAAGAGAATCATTCGACGAGAACACTCGTCGAAATCGCGTGTTTTCGAGGCGACAATAGGATTAATTATTAAATTACCGAAATCCACGGGCCTCGTGATATTCCCGAGCATTACCGTTGCGCGGCAGTGAATCCCGCGCGTTATTCGTTCCGGTTCACCGTGTCGGCGATTAATAACGATAACGCGGAATCGTTAGAGGCCGATAAATATTTGTCGGTCGGAATAATAGCCGCTCGTTAGCGCGCGGAACGGTTTTACGTAACCGGCGGAAAGAAACGAAGTTATCGTCGTCGGGAAATTTGTAATTACCGCTCGGGGTCCGCAGGGTTCAGCGGATTATTAAACGATCGAGACGGGGAACGGTATGATCGCGACGCGCGGATCGGGATCGTGACGCGCGTTTATCATCGGCGGATCGCGCGGACGCTATTGTTCGTTAATTCCAGCCGGAGCACGGGACGGCGGCTAGATCATGCTTAATATTCGAGGAGGACGACAACGACGAGACACTCGATGTTTCACGAGGACTTTTAATTGACACTGTAACGCGACTGGCCCAGTGTAACGCGAACTGCGCGGCGCTCGAGCAGGACAATCAATTAGCCGAATTAATTGCGCGGATGGAAGTACCGGCGTGACGGAATACGCAATCGGTGCGCGCCCGTGATAATGTTGGACGTATCTATCATCGATGTCTAGCGTGACCGGCGTTATTAAAAGTGAAAGGGGAGTCGATGCTCGAGAGATCGGTCTATAGTTCGAGGTGACGATGCTGTGGGGATGGTCGCAATTTGATGCTGTTTTTAACACTAGAACTACCAGAACTACTAATAGAAAGGTAGTTCTAGTAGTTGAGAAATAGAACTACTAGAAAGGTAGTTCTAGTAGTTCAGAACTAGAACTACTAGAAAGGTAGTTCTAGTAGTTCAGAACTAGAACTACTAGAAAGGTAGTTCTAGTAGTTCAGAACTGCTACTAGAAAGGTAGTTCTAGTAGTTCAGAACTACTACTAGAAAGGTAGTTCTAGTATTTCAGAACTAGAACTACTAGAACTACCAGTCAAAATGACTGGTTTCGATTTTTTTGTTTAGCAATTATTGATATCTTCGAAGCATTGAATATTCCAAATGATTTTGAAAATAGTTTCATTTGAGTACTATAATGAATGCCTGAAGAAAATCATCTATTGTTACAATTTTTATAGGAATTGTATATTAATCGTATTAAATGCTCGGTAGTTCTAGTGTTAATGGTATGAACATTCGTAGATATTGAAGGTGGTAATGCTAGACAAGTTTAAAGGAGGTTTTCCTAAATTTTTATAAGTATAATGTAGATTCTTTGATACGCGAGCTTGGTAATAAAATGCAATACTGTCTTGTAAAGTGCACCCCAGATAATAATCAGAGTATGTGGTATATCGTCTACATATAATACAAAGATCTTTCTAAGAAGAAACTATAGAGACTGAGGAATAGATACACAGTGATAAGTTCATTAGAGAGTTTAAGGTTTCTACAGTTAATCAGCACTAGTTAACACGACGAGGGAGCTATTCTAAAAATCTAGAAAGTAGAATTTCACGGAAATCGTCACCTCCAAGTATAGTTTCCACGGTGACAGGCATGCAAGGCTATAAGCGTCAATCTTTCTCTCATGCTGGTGCGTGGTCAAGGCACCGGAAGTGTCTGTTTCGATTGATCAGACGGTAGACACGTATGCAAGCGTTTGAAACACGTCTTTCTCATTTATCTCCATTATACAAGGTGTATACTAAGGTTCTATACGCTTGGCCGACCCTCTCGAGATTCTTCGTCAGAATTTCAACTCGAAAATCCTCGAAAAGCATTCTGAAGAGAGCGACAGTTAAAGAATTCAAAGACTTCAAATGATTCTTCGGTCCTCGGAGATCGACTCGACGAATATTGACTCTCGAAAGGGTGAACCGCGACTATAACGGTCTCACGTTGGAAGCTTTACCTTCGACTCTCAACTCGAAGGCTAAATTCATTTTGGGGTCGGTGTTAACCTGGCATTCGTAAACCCCTGCGTCGCGCTGTTGGACGAACTCGATTTTCAGCGTCCACTCGTTGGATGGTTCCGGATGCTTCACCGAGAATCTGTCGTCCCCCGTGTACGCGTGAATGGAGGACGTGAGGATGTGTAGATCTCTCCTACGCATCCAGGACACCTGGAACAGAAAAGGAACAGAATTATTTCACAGAGTCTCAAAGAACTTCTGAAATTGCCCTACTGAAATTATTGGATTTCCTCGTTACCTTGGTGTACGATTATTATATTATTTGTATTACATATAATAATATAATATAATATAATAATGATAATAATAATAATAATAATAATAATAATATAATTACTAATATAATATATAATAATATAATATAATATAATAATGATGATAATAATAATAATAATAATAATATAATTACTAATATAATATATAGTAATATAATATAATATAATAATGATTAGTAATTATATTATTATTAGTATTATTATTATTATTATTATTTCCTCGTTGTATTATTCACTCTCGCTACTGAGCTCGCGCAGTATTTTACTATTGAAAATTTGGAAGAAACGTAAGGAAATTTTGTTTCACTTTCAGTGGAAATTTCATATCAAGATAATACATTGGTAATGGTAAAATAATTCTACGCTTTGATCTATGGGAATGAACATTGAGTTTTGCTTAGTTAATCTAAATCTTCATCAGTCTCGTCATTATACGGGAAGCGGTTAATGACTCGTCGTTATTATATTGAAGGAAACAAATGTATACGAGTTGAATACGATTCGTTTGTGATTAGATTGCGAGTATAATTTCAAACCATCTCGTATTATTCCCTTTGTTCGGTTCGCGGAGGCACGCAGGAACGAGTTTTCATCGAAATAGTCGGCGAGGAACGGGTTCACTTTGTCCCGACTATAATTTCAAGATTATTCGACCGCACAACGGTGCGGCGTTACAAGGGTGTCGGCCGGGACCGTCACTGGAACAATGTTTGACGGGAATATACATCTGTCAAATCTGTTAACAGTCGTATAATAACGTTCCCATTGATCTATCGACGCACCTGTGCCGATCTAATAATCGAATCGGCGCGCGACGCGTATCGAATTTTCCGTGCGCGCCGGCCGTTCGTGAAATTGTGGTCGCGCAAACGTTATTATACGGCGAATTGTAGACGGGTGTCGTTGAATCGTGTCAGGCATGGTTTACCGGTGTCCCGCGCAGAATTCCGCAAAGATCCTTTGAGAGGAATTGAATCGGAGAGGAAGCAAATGAATCTTGTCCATTATTCACCTCTATTTATTACGCTCTCGACCGTAGTTTCTGTTTAACCCCTTGGCCTATGATTTCTTTTACAACTCTGATCGATACGGCCACTTTGTCTCTAATAATTTATTTGAAAAATAGGCAAATTCTAAGCGAATATTACGCCCATATTACCTTTTAAGTATAATAGTTGATTACAGAGGAATAATATGTACTTTGCATTCGAATGAACTGAGCAATATATATATTTGTTGAATCATATTGAAAATCTTCACAACGAGTCTCACTCGTTGTAGGTGAACGGGTTAAGTCTCAGATTTTAATCAAAACTTCAATTCTTTCGTATCAATCATTTGTATGATGGTATCAATAGACTTATAAACCCTCATATATTTATATTTCCTTTTGTTCTACTTAACCTTCTCTTACAATTACACTTAACAGATATAATTCAGTAACGTTCATTCTCAATAGCCGCTACCAATGTCGCACGTAAATCATAAAGTCAACATTACCACTCGTATTAAATCAAACGAGCAGACAATGCTCCATTAAAGTCTCAATTCTGCAACGGAATATCCTGCATGAATCTTCAATTCGAATCGTGCCCGCTGTTTAATATCTTCCTTATAATTGTACTCCGGATTCCCGACGAACGGTTCGACAGATTTATTAAACCTTTCCGCTCGCGAGACCCGATGGTACCCGTTTGAAAATTCCACGAAATCTCTACTCCGATCATCGACGTTTACGGTGATCGTTAAACGCCCCCGTGACGCGGGGTACGTGCCGTCCGTCGGCTGTCGTTGCGCCAAAAGTCACCCCAACGAATCCCTTTTCCGACCCTCGCGTTTATGGGCGCCGCCACTTCTAACCCTAGCAATGGGGGATCGTTAAACGTATGTTCCCTGAGAAGAAGATCTTCTCACCCTCGTTAATTATTCCCGACTGCATCCCTTGCGCGAGCCAGACAGTGAAAGAGGGACACCGGCAGACGGGGTGAGGATGGTCTGGGGGTTGGAAACGTAATCCCTCAGACGGAACACGTCGAAACGCTCGGATCTCGGCAAGTTTTCGACGTTAGACGTTTGATAAGGGTACGTCGTCCCATTTTACAGCCGTCCTTCGAGTGCGCGGCGCATTAATTGAATATTATACCTCGACGCTGTTGTCTTCGCCCCCTTTGTGACGGATCAATGACCGTTTCGTCGTTTCGGCTGAATATTCTATTGTCGATTGGGGCTGCGATGCGGTGAGAATCGAAGAAAGTGGGAGTTTGATTGTATACTGAGTTATACTACTGATTCTTCTTAAATCGACGTAAGAATCGAAAGAATTGAATAGGGAATTTGATAAAAGTGTTATAAGACGCGTTGAGAATTGAAGGAATAGTGGTCGTTTCATTATACACTGAGTTATACTACTGATTCTTCTTAAGTCAAAGTAAGAATCGAAAGAATTGAACGGGGAATTTGATAAACGTTATATGACGCGTTGAGAATTGAAGAAACAGTGGTCGTTTCATTATTCATTGGGTTATACTACTGATTCTTCTTAACACTACGACTACCGAGCATTTAATACGATTAATATGCAACTCCTATAAAAATTGTAACAATAGATTATTTTCAGTTTCTTTAGACATTCATTGTAGTACTGAAATGGAACTATTTATGTTCAAAATCATTTCGAATATTCAATGCTTCGAAGGTATCAACAATTGCTGAACAAGAAAATCGAAACCAGTCATTTTGACTGGTACGGTAGTTCTAGTGTCAAATCGAAGTAAGAATCGAAAAAATTGAATACGAAATTTGTTAACCGTGTTATACGACGCGTTGAGAATTGAAGAAACAGTGGTGGTTTGATTATACATTGAGCTATACTACTGACTCCTCTCAAATCGACGTAAGAATAAAAAAAATTGAATAGAGAATGTGATAAAGATATTAATAATAACATGATATTTCACATGTGCTCAATTTCGATATAAATAATATAATTATACAACCTAAACAGAATAACTTTGAATTTCTAATATCCTCATAGTTCTACACTCTCTATTATCCACAAAAAACTAGCCCGTTCCGAAATATTTCCATTCCACAGAGCAGTGGCAACACAGTCCGCATTATTTACAAAAATAGTGACAGCTTTCTCGCGAGCTCCAGCCGTTCCGGCTGCGTACAAAAATATATTCATTATTCCTATTACATCTGTCATTCCGTAGTACAATAGGAAAGAACGGGGCTGTTGAACGCGACGGTAACTCGTATCACGTTTCCCATGGAGCGCGAACAATATCCCTGCTTACTATGGGCCTGGGCTTTTATATCCTCGCCACTCTGTCGGAAAATATTTCTGTAATTAAAATGCTGGCGCGCGGACCGCCGGAAGAATGTTCCGGGCGCGGTCTGCGGCGGGCCGACGTCGCTCCTTTTATTTGCAGATTTCTCGCCTCGTTGTACTTTAATAGAGGCGAAATTCCGGGATAACACGTCGGCCACGTAACATCCTTGTTCCACGGTAATCTCGGCACGGCTGCCGCTGAACCCACTTCGAAACTGTAAGACGTTCGTGGCCAAGTCACGAAAAGATCCCGGCTCCGCGTAACGCCGCGTGGGATATTTAATTTTCCCCGGCATAGCTCCGAGCTGATATAAAAGGCGCGAAACGATAACCGGCTAGCCGGAGACGCGTCTGTGGCGATAGCGAGAACGTACGGGAAATTTATACTGGAGCGACGCTTGTTCCTTAGACTCGGACTCGGCCGACTTGTCGCGAGCTGAATAAATTCGCGGCGCATGTCTCACTTGAAACACCGCCGAGGTTCGTGATCGAAATAACGGGGAGACAGAGGGCGCCGTTCCTCATTAGAGCTACATCGCGTAATAAATATATTTAACCTGACTATGGACTTAGTTTTTATTTTAGTAGCCCTACAGTAGGTTCGTAAATGTTTAATGTGGGGAGTAAGTGGAGTAGGTCGAACATGAGTCAGGTGTTCGGTTGAATGAATAATATACATCTTATTTCTAATTGTTAATACTCAATCTATAATTAAGTTAGTATAGATCTCGTATGTAAACGTTTGAACAGTCGCAATGAGTATTTCGTGAAAGATTCGCGTGAAACAGGTCAACCACATACCAGGTGTTTCGTGAAAGATCGTTGGGGGAAATGATATTTGAGATTTTCGGTGTTGTAGAGATAGTATTCGTAGGTTTTGGAGATGTTTGATGAGGAATTGAGTGATGTAGGTCGACCATGTATCAGAAGTTCGTTTGAATGAATAATATACATCTTATTTCTAATTTTTAGTACTCCATCTATAATTAAGTTACTATAGATTTCGTATATAAGCGTTTGAACAGTCGCAATGAGTATTTTACAAAATATTCAAGTGAAACAGATCAACGATATACCATCCTCAAGCCGAAACTTCGAACTTCCATCACAGAATACTCCAAATTCTAACTGCAATATCTCGTCCCAATCAAAAATACCAATCCCGACTTCCAGCAGAACTCAATCGCACTTAAGCAAACATCTGCGGAGATCTCAGACGATACGTCAAAGGAGAACAGTCGACAGGGGACGAGGCAGCCGCAGCCAGCAACGTCGCCGTCTACGTAAAACATCTCCGAGCGCAATTTGCCGGGTGGTAGCCGGCTGGAGGTCTGTGTGTCTCCAGGCTCTCGGCCCGCCGAAGAACTGCCATTTTCTGCTTAGATCACCCCGAAAGCGTGCCGTCAAGACGTCTCCCCTTTGTGCTGCTCTAGGTACACCGTCAACCGCGCGATCTCCATTTCCTATTAATCCGACAGCGTGTCGGAATCCCCGACGTCAGCGGTAGAACGAGGAGAACACGGCGAAATCGGATAAAGGAT